AATATTTTTATATTACTTAACTAATATGCAACGACAATAATAAAGACAAATAATATCATCTTAATAAATCAGGATGATTGCAGGGGAAATGAAAAAAAAAAATTGCTGAAGAGGTAGTTGCTGAATCTATCTACCCTTTAAAAGAGGGAGTTCTAGAAAAAACTTTCTCTTTCCCAAAATACCCTTTAACTATTGTAATTATAACAAATTTATACATTTTTATCGTTTCACAGAGTTAATAAATCCTCATCATCACCGCACCCCCTCTGCCATCGTTCCTTTCATTTTCGGTTAAGAATTCGCTCTAGCATCCACCTTCAATTATGCTTCTCCTTCGGCAACGCCACCCCACTTTCTTAAATCATCAATTGCTAACGATGAGTATTATTATCCTCATCATCACCGCACCCCTCTGCCATCATCTTCTCACTTCTCAGATTTTGGGCATCGGTTACGATCACGAACAAACCCTAGCCGGTGACGGCGACGAGTTCCATCCTTCATATTTCCAGTGCTGCATCTGCTTGTAAGCTATTTCTACATTCAAAAACCCGATTTTTGCGGTTTCCATCTATTGAATTCGGTAAAAAGAGAACATTTTTAGCCTGATATTGATGATTATTTCTTGAATTTGCAAGTTATCGATAAATTGGCAGCTTTAAGATATCCATTTCTTCTATTGCTGTTGAATTCTGTTGAATTAACCAATGAAACAATGCTACTTATCAATTTTAGCTTGTAAATTTATATTTTACGAAGTTGATCAGGAATGAGACTTTTCAATTTTATACACTTCAATTTCTTTTGTGGATGAACATTCCAATTTTGTGAGAAAAGATTATAAGTAGATGTGTTGTTATGCATGCATTTTCCTTGTTTATGTAATCCGAATGATGTTTCCTTAGTTGCATGAGTTTAATTGTTTAACTTGTGTGATTAGTATCTTCCATACGCCCCGTTGCCTCTTCTTCTAGGATTTAAGGTAATCAACCGTCAATATTGTGGTCATCATTCTTAGTTTCGTATCTGAAAAAACAATGAGCATGTCCCTGCCTTATACACTTTTCCGTGCGTTTCTTTGGACTGTAATAAACTAATAAAGACAGACATCAAAGAAGAACAAATACATTTAGCTCTTTTCACTTTTCAAGTAAGTTAAATATGCAATTCTCTATTGTTTTTTGATCTATAAGCAATTTCCAAAATATGCTAAATCAAATGAAAATTTAATATGAAATCCTTAAAATTTTAATTACTAATTTTTCCACAATTCCACTTCATACTGAAAAAACATGACATGTTGGAAAGATTTTGCAGTTTTATTTGCAATGGAGTGAGAATTTTTAATTTGATATTCCTTTTGACTCGAAGTGTCATAAAATTCAACTGTTTTTTTCTTATTGGGAACTAAGAAGGACAATCGGAGTGCACCATAAGCAGTTAGGATGACAATCCTTTCAGTCTTTAGATTACATATAGCTAAGCACAGGCTATTTATCAATTTCCAACTTTTATTGAAGACTAAAGATGCAAAATTTTAAGCATTTTCTCCCCTGTAACCCAAGAAACACAACACCCAGACACAGGGCACAACATGTTGCTATTATCCATATGATAAATTTGAACCGGCTTTAAACCTCCGAATTTGCCAAAGGGATAAATTCCTAATTTAGGCACATACAATGCTCTCATAAAAATCCTAAAGATCTCCAGGATCTCCCCAGGACACGTGAAGGTATAAAAAGACCCGCATATCTCCTCATATATGCATAATGTTGACTTCTTTAGTTCCATAAGGCTCAAGAATACAATTATACATCTTGAGACCACTAGAAAAGAGACTTGGACACATGGAAGAAGTAATATTATTGCTAAATATTTAAGTGCAGGGGTATGCCATGCGGAGGTCGATTCTACGAGCTAATAGTTACCTAAGAAGAACGAACTCAAACAGCATACATCATATGGATGCAGGAAACTCTCAAAATGCACAAAGAACATACATATAATGCACGATGATAAGTGATTTGAACAAAAGAGACCACCGTATATGTTACATAAAAAGCAAGAGAATTCACTCAAAAATATGAATATGAAGTTGATCTTGAAGCTTATAGTACCCCCAGTCAGTTAGCTGTGAAGATATTATTAACATAGAAATAACATATAACCTTGGAAATTTTCTAATAGAAACCTAAGAAACAAAAGCACCATGCCTGACAGTTGTTCACATGACACAGCTTCATCAATTGTCATCCTACAGCCCAAACTTTTCATATGCTTTTAAGCTGATTAACTGATGAATGTTATTTGTTAGGATAATTTATGAATTATAAACATATGCACATATAGTTGTTTGATATTGCATGCTTTGATTATTTATGCAGTTATTAGCTTAAATTTATCATTCAATTGTGTGAATCTAAATACATATTTAGAGAATATTTTACTTTATTACTTTTAAAAAGCATATGAACTATTTTTTGGTGATCTCGGCTACACGCAAACTTTTGTTTGTGACTCCTTTGCAAGAAGGGATTCAGATCTTGAACATATCCTCTCAGATTCTATTCAACAGGGCAATGGCAAATCATACTTTATGTGTTTTGTGGATGGGTCTTATTGCAGAAGCGCATGGGTGCCTGCATGTGGTAGGGTGAATAAGCTACTTGCGCAAGGTGTATCTCAAAATCAATATCATGAAAAAACTCTTGAACAGGTATGTACCATATTTATTATTTAAATTATCTTTAAAAAATTATCATTTTGGCTTTATTTATTGCGGGTTGAAGAATTTTTGTGGTTCAATACATTTGAGATCTTGAGTATAAAGTGAATTGAACTTATTTAATGGAATCGTAGACGTTGCATGTTTATCTAAGAACCTACTAAATGCCTCTGCATCCTTAGTTCAATATTTGATTTATCATCATCATCATCATCATCATGGTAATGAGTTCATTGAGATAGTGCTTCAATTTTTCTATTTAGCGGTTCTTGCTTTCCAAATTGGATTATATTTTTCCCCTACAATGTTATAATTGATGAGGACCTCCAAAGCCAGAAGGGCATGTGCACAGAATGCAGGTACTGGATTTTTCCCATGCCAATCAGAGTCTAATAATCTATAGGATAGCCATTGTGCCAAAGTCCATTGATTTTCATTGTCAGTGTCATTGGCATGACCAGAAGGCTGTTCTTTTATACGCCTCCTTGGATAACTATACCTATTTGGTTATTTTTTAGGCTGTTCACAGGTGCTGATCTTGAGTTTGCATTTGCAACTTGCATAGGATATAAAGCTGAGGTAAGTTTTCATGCTTAACCTACACTGAAACATACTATTTGTCTATGATACTTGATGGAGCTTCAATATATTTTCAGGGTGAAGGGTTCATGGTCGGGGTTCAGATAAATCCTATAAGGGGCTTGCCATCTGGATTTCCGGGTTCATGGTCGGGGTTCAGATAAATCCTATAAGGGGCTTGCCATCTGGATTTCCTCTAATTTTTCGGACTTCTTTTAATAATACATGTAATTGTACCTCCCAGTATTTATAATTCTTTTCAATTTGTTCGACAGGATCTGTTAAGTTTTATTCTGGAATATATTAAAGATAAGATGGTGGAGCCTCTGCTTGAGATGAGGGCACTAAAAATGTGCACAATTTCAATTTCGCACATGCATTATTTCAACTTACATCTGCTGTTCTTAGGATTGCTTGGTATACACTTTTGCTTCACATAAGCTTAAACTTTTGGATAAAGTAGTTATTGATGTGGTAACAGGGACATGATTGAGAACTTCAGCAAGACATTTAAATTATATTCATTTATGCCTTTCATGGAGGGAAATTCTTAAATTGAGACTTTTCTACATGGTCTGAAATCCCGCATGACAGAATAATATGTTGCTAGCATAGATCATGCATCATGGTAGTGTTGGTTACCTATCATCTTAATCTTGTCGATTTAGTAGGTACCTGATAAGTATGCTCTTATATAATTTTGTTCCAAAATTTTTATGGTTCTGGTTTGTAAATAATTTTTTTTATTTCTAGATTGAGGAAGAGAAGTACTTAGACAGAGTCAAGTGGAAATACTAGCAAGTTTGTCCTAAATTTTATGCTTAATTAGGAGATCCGATGTTTGAAGTACCAAAAACTGATTTGATAGTGTTAAATTAGGCAAAGATTAAAAAGCAATTAATATAAACAAAGAGAAAACTTATGGTTAGATTAATATTCCATTTACTAACATATCACATATGAATCTTCAAAAACTCTAGTATTCCCAATATTTGTGCGGGCAAAGGCAAACGCCAAAATCGAGATCACAATTAGATTTCTAACCAAAAATAAAATTTGCATGTCAATATCCCATTTCATCTATAGATATTTTCTTTTGCATATCATTCATCTTCAATCATAGCAAGGTGCAACTTGTTTTTACATGATAAAATATGAATATCAATTTGTATTGCTGTAGTGGTTTATTTTCTTGCTTCTTAACAGATATGACATCAAGCTGAACAATGCCATTCTCGCAGAGGACAAGCATGTGCCCATGTAAGTTTTTCAATATCTCCCGAGAACCTTTTTTGGTTTATTCTTTTAAGTATTGCAAGTGAAAAAACTTATACATCTTGTTTTCTTTTGTTTCTCTTTTCTTCGAACATATATAGCATCTGCATAAGGATTCATACTGAATATCTAACTTTATATATCCGTTCTGCACTGCAGTTAAACATGCATTCATATAGTTTTATATTTATATCGAGATATGTAAGCCTGTCTATCAGTTTTACTGCAAGTTGCATTGACCTTCTTGTTGTTAACAAAACGTTGACGTTTTTTTGTGCCTCCATCTAGGTATGAACAAATGGCTTCAAAGTACATTGACAAGTATATTACTGGAGGTAAAATTTTGGTTTAAACAATCATTATGACACAAAAGCTTAATTCAATTTTAAATTATGTGATAATTTAGGCCATATATTATGTTAACCTCAGGGGCTACACAAAATGCAATCAGGGTTGCCCAGGTATATTTAACATATGAATGTCAATCTCCTGTATTTTATGAAGCTATGTTGTCGACTTAACAGTTTTCTGATGTCATATTCAATTTTGCAGTGGATGCTTCAAACTCCTGGTGCAACTAGATTTATGGGTTGCATTGGAAAGGACAAGTTTGGTGAAGAAATGAAGAGAGCCTCAACAGCTGCTGGTGTTAATGTAAAATGATTTGTTCATTCCATTTTGCTTTCATGTTGACTTTTTTGGGCCAATTTAAATAAAATCTACCATGATAATCACACAGGCTCACTATCGTGAGGATGAGATTGCTGCAACTGGTACATGTGTTGTCTGTATTGTTGGAGGTGAAAGGTAGAGATTCATCGCATATATTCTCTATCATTAGTGGCAAAGCATTGTGTACCTTCAGTTCCTACAAAGAGGTGCATACCAAATCTTATTCAATTATAAAGATAAAAAGAACATCATATTATCCATAGCATTTACGTCAGTTTTATAATAGAACAAACTTATTTCAACATGCAGGATATCTATCACCTTCAGAAAGATGAGATAAAGCTTGCATCCAATAGGGTTCAGCCCCGAACAAAACCTCCAGAACATCCTGCCACTAATATAAAATTAAGCTAGAAGGAACCAACATCATGCGAGTAGTAACAAAAAACCTAGCTCAGAAGGGAGAAACTTCAACAGAGGTAGGAAATGTAGCTCAGAAGGGAGAAACTTCAACAGAGGTAGGAAATGCAAAGGAAAACATACTGCTGGGAGACAATATCAGTCACATGACCGAAACTACACCTAATGTGAGACGAAGACAAATTATAGATGAGCGATATGTATCAACCAGTGATAATTTGATGTATGAATCGAATCCTAGATTTTTCTCAGAGGAACCAAATGAGAGTGGACAGAGATTGAGTTTATTCTATTGTAAGGGATGCAAACTCTCTATTATCCCCCACTTGATCCATAAATGTTTACCATCTATCTATATGTTTGCTACATGATTTAAATTCAATAATTTTTTATCAAATCAATCTCTACAAAAGTTAAAAAATTGAAATAAAAATTTTAACCACGTGCAATCTAACTAGTATTGTAATAAACATATGTTAATAATATTATGTAATAACATATATTAATATTTTAATAACATATATATAATATTTTAATAACATATATTAATAATATTATGTAATATATTATTATATAATATTAATTAGTAATTATAGTATAACGTATTTATTATAATATTATATAATATTTTAGTAACATATATTAATATTTTAATAACATAATTTAATAACATATATTAATAATATTATATAATAGTAATTATAGTATAACGTATTTATCATATTATATTATACTAACATATATTAATAATATTATATAATAACATATATTAATATTTTAATAAAATATATTAATAATATTATGTAATATATTATTATATAATATTAATTAGTAATTATAGTATAACATATTTATTATAATATTATATAATATTTTAATAACATATATTATTATATAATATATTATTATATAATAAATTTATAAATCATATATTATATCAATTATTATATAATGTAGCATACTAATATAATGTTAATTAGTAATTATAATATAACATATTATATTTTTGTATAAATAAAATAATGTATTATATTAAATATTATATATTATATTATTAAGATGTTATATTAAATATATTGATATTATATTATATTAATTATTATATATCGTATAGCATGCTAATATAATATAATATAATACAATATAATAATTAATAATAGAAATTTGTAAGTATAGTCTAATATATTATATTTTAATATAAAGTAAAATAATTTTTATATTATAATAATATACTAAATAATATACTAAACCAATTGGATAAGTTAATTTAGAAGTAATTAATAGATAAAATTATATTTTAATAAGGTGCCACATCATTAATTATCTCACATGAATTGTCAAATCAAAGGCTCAAATTATCCCATTATCTCACTTTACCCCACTCAAAATATCCTAAAAGGGTAAAATTGTTCTATTAGAATAATTTTTCCACTTAGCCCCAATTTGTCTTAACCAATAACCCCCCAAGTGCGGTCAAACGGACTCAGGGAATGAATGACAATTCCTCCATTCTATCGTCTCATTGAGGACATAAAGGTTATTTCACCTAAAAAAGGAGGACATGAAACACCACATGTGAAGACAAGACCATGAGACAAAAGGGCTTTCAATTTTCAAATTGAAGAAATATCTTTTTTATGTGAGATTCCATGTTTTTAACTAATTGAGATTAAGATTATAATTTTTTTGAAATATATTATTTGTTATAAACTACATAAAAGTTTAATTTTTATGAGGGAAAACTTTTAAGTTAAAAGGTCGCATTTCATTTTACCAAATTAGTCCCTTAGTTCTTAAATAATTCTATATTAGTCCATCAAATCTTTAAAATTGCTCATAAGGGCTCAAATCCTAAGGGATCTCGCAATTTGGTCCCTCAAATCCCATGGGTTCTTGAAATTTTCCTTTGAAGAGTTATTTCACTTATTTCAATTTGGTACTCTAAAGTTGCGCCTTTCTTAACTTTAAAACCTAAAAAATTATGTCACTTTTTCTTGGTCAATGAACATGAATTTGATTTTACTATTTGAACATTATATGTTGTTGATGTTAGCTATCAAACAATGAACAATTTGCAGGTTTTTGAAGTGATTAAGGTCCTCTAACTTCTTCTGTTATATGACTCTGGGGTTTTCTGTTCTTCCCTGCACAAGAAAGAACCTGTAAGAGGTCGGAGTTAGGTTCTCCGGTTGTTCCTCCGACGATCAAGTCAGTAGATGACCTTGAGTGGGGAAATATAGATCTAGCTATTAGTTGTCGCAAAAAGTTCAGAGAGAGTTATCTCATGCAGCTCCTCTCCTTTTTATAGTGGATCTGAGAGGCAATGAGGTAACTTGGGCAAAGTCTAGCTAAGCAGTCGAGTCGGCAGATATGTGCTACGTGTCAGCTGTTGAGGGATGTGAGTCACCTGGTCATTTATTATGGGAATGATAGCAGGTGCTCGGTGCTGACTGGGTCCGATGAGTCATAAAAGCTATAGAAGCTAGAGAAATGATGACTTTGTCAGAGTAGTTAATGCAAGGACAAGCAACGGTCGGCACGGGGTTTGAGAAAAACTACCGTTATTTTAGTCGTCTAGCTGATGGTCGACTATACCTGCTAACAGCTGATACAACGGGCCAAGTGGGGGTCATTCGTAAGAGCGACTGGTCAGGTTGGACGACAAGTATCGCCTTTTGATTGGGATATGCGAGATGTCGGCAGAACAGTAGGTCGAGTCGGGTGGCTTGTATAGCTGATCGAAGGGTTGGCCGCATAGTACCGCCTTTTTGACTCAGCTATGCGAGATGTCGGCTGTACAACGGGTCAAGTCAGGTGAAGAATTAGATGTATTAGGTATAGTGTAAGACATGTGGCAATTGCTCTGTGGATATTAATATTTAGCATTTTCTAGGGGTGTAACATATGTAAAAACAGTTACTCAGGCATACTCGAGATAACAAACAAGCTCATAAAACTGAGCTATCATCTCTCGTACATGATTACTCACATAATTCATATACATGATTACTCACATAATTCATATAAATCCCTCACATTTATAACCCCCATAACTTTGAAAATACCATAAAGTCTCCTTTTAGCTTAAGTTGATATCAGAAAACCCGCATTTAACTTTGAAATTTTATCATGAACCCCCCTTTAAAAGTGATGGTTATTGTGGAGTTTATTGACGAGATTTCAATTTAAAGAGGATTTTCTGATACAGTCTCAGCATTAAAGAGGAATTTCCTGATAATCTCTATGCTTTTATCTTGAATACTTTTGAGGAGCCTCAAAATTGCTCCTTTTTATTTGTAAAAAAACCGCTACCGTTTATTTCTCAATTTATTCTAGAGGAAGAAGATCTAGTTCCTGCGGAGCATTGTACGCTCACGCTTGGAAGAGAGAGCACATTTTAACCACGAGGGTAGACTGGGGCAAAGCAGGTAAGGTTAACAAAATTTATTTAATTTGAACATAGTAATGTTTATCTTCTAGGACTAATTTAAGGAGGACTTATATATATCCTTACTTGCACTTTTGTATACTCTTGATTGAATTTTCTGAAAGTTTCTATTTAATATGTTTGCATTATTTCTTGAATTTTCTCTTTACGGGCGCATGAAGGATGAGGTTTCTCCATTTCCGCTTCTGGCCCATCAATTTGGGCTTCCTACGTTAATGGGCCCCCAGGTTAAGATCATCTGGATAAGGCTCGTTTCCTCTGGCAAAAGGCTGCCCACGTGTCATCCCATCCGTCAAGGGCAAATCCGTCATTTACCATCTCAAAACTCGCTCCGCCTTGCCTCCCATATAACACAACATCTCGTCTAAAGCGGTCTCACAGTCCTCGACCGAAAACCGATGCCGTTCAGCTGACGCCCCTACCAGTTTTCAACCCTCCCCGAATGCCTCGCCGTTCGATCCAGTCTCCTCCGATCTCCTCCCTCTTCGACGCCCTTCAGACGAACAACCCTAGGACCCTAGCCCTAGCCTTTCTCCAGTCGACGTCGTTTGCCGCTGGCGGCCGTCGACGTGTTCGCCGAGATGGGGGTCTCAGCTACCGCTGAGGATTTCGTGCCGTTCATGGGGACCGGTAACGTTCTCTGAATCCTTGATTCTTGATGAGACAGGGCAGCTTGGATGATTTCGGGAATTTTAATTTTAATTTTTTTCAAAATAACGGGTGTAAATCGATGGAGTAGGCGAGGCGAATTTTTTGGGAGGAGTGGCATCAGTTAAAGGCGTGACGGGGTTCGATCCGGAGAAGGCGAAGAAAAGGTTTTTCGAGATATACCTCGACAAGGTGAGACGAGCCGCTAGTTACACGATTACATTTGCTCTTAACGTACTTGCAAGTAGTTCGAGTCTGAGTCGGGGTTTATTGCTTGGTTTTAGTATGCGAAACCTGATTCTGGAATTGGATTCCCGGGGGCGCTTGAGCTTATCATGCAGGTAAGCGTGTTACTTTTTTTTTTTCGCGCGTTATGGGTACGTTTAGCTCAATGGCGAAGCACTAGGTTTATTGTGTATGGTTTTGAATCAGTGTAAGAATCGCGGGCTTAAGGTGGCTGTTGCATCTAGTGCTGATCGTATCAAAGTGGATGCGAATTTGGCGAAACCTGATTCTGGAATTGGATTCCCGGGGGCGCTTGAGCTTATCATGCAGGTAAGCGTGTTACTTTTTTTTTTTCGCGCGTTATGGGTACGTTTAGCTCAATGGCGAAGCACTAGGTTTATTGTGTATGGTTTTGAATCAGTGTAAGAATCGCGGGCTTAAGGTGGCTGTTGCATCTAGTGCTGATCGTATCAAAGTGGATGCGAATTTGGCGGCTGCTGGCTTGCCCGTCTCTATGTAAGCCCCTTACAAATATTGTCGTTTGTAGTTGGTTTGCCCGTCTCAAACGCATTACCTTTATATGTTCTATTTATTTTAGCCCAACCTCTTTAACTTTAGGGAAATCGTTAATTCATTATTACGACACATTTAATTTTTAATGCAAGCATCCCCATGTTGCATTACAAATTAGCATGGTGAATCGGAATATTTCTTGCCTACGGTTTTCTATATCCTTCTCTTATCAATTATTCTATCTACTAAAAGGGCAAGCATATCTGACGCTTTCTTGATCTGCCAATGTCCATGTGTTCATTAATTGTTTTCTGCCTATTTTGAACACCAGATTTGATGCGATTGTTTCTGCGGATGCGTTTGAGAACCTAAAACCTGCTCCAGATATTTTTTTAGCTGCATCAAAGAAGTTGGATGTACATCCTAGCGAGGTATATGGATGCATCAAAGAAGTTGGATGTTAGCATGTTTTTCTTCTTCTTCTTCCCCATATGCTAAAAGAAATTGCAGAGTTTGTGAAGATGCTATGCTTAGTGTAAAATGTTTCTTAAATTTTTTTATACTTTTCACCATTACTTTATTTGTTATGCTATTCTCCTACCTTTGCATTTATTTATCTTGTCCCTTTTGTTTTTTGTTTTTAGTTTTTCTTGCAAAAGAATTCTTCATTTATTCTTTTTTCTACAAGTTTTATGGCTTCACTTTTATTCACAACATTTTTAAGCGCGGTCCTGTAGAATTCTATAATCCTCACCTTATCAAGATTAGATTAGAGTACCTTGCCAGATCTGTATCACATAGGTCGACACTTTCAAAAGATATTTCCCCCCTGCTATTCACACATAATAACTATTATCGGAAAGCACCTATTTGGACTTGAACTTCTACATTTTTTGGTTAAAATTTTGTCATCCTTCTTCTTGTAATCCTTTCAATGGAGGTACTGGCAAATATTTTCTCCATTCATCTTTGTGAGGTCCATGTTCTCTGATTAAATTTGACTACTTTCATATCCTATTCAGTGTCGTCTTTATTTCTTGGGAAGATCCTATTCGGCTTCTTTTATTAATTGAAAATTTTAACCCTGCTCGCTTTCAGTTATTACTGTGAAGTTTCATTGAGCATTTTTAGCTGATGCTGTGGTAAACTGATAAATGACCAGGTGATCAGCTAATTTGTATTTCAATCCGGCTTCTTGTAGTAATTGAAAATTTTAACCCTTCCCCCTTTCAGTTATCACTGAGGAGTTTCTTTGAGCATCTCTAGCAGTTGCTTTTGTAAAACAATAAATGACTAGGTGATTAGCTAACTTAATTTTAATTCGGCTTTTTTACGTACACCACAATTCATCTATCCTCTTAACTGCATACTGCAACCATTATGAAGATTTTTTTTTGTAGAAGCTGTATATGGTGATGAGTAGATGCTTACGGTTTAAGTTTCTTTTTTAATCTGGTGCTATATCTAGAAGTTACTTGGCAATGAGTTCTAATTTGTACTTAGAAATTTGTTTTCTTATAGATGTGATTCAACATTTAGCCTCTTAACCACAGTGTTACGTTCAGCACATTGATATTTCAGTGAATTAGCAACATGATGAATTCTACTCTCATTTTAAAGAATTTAAAGAGTTACCCAACCAAGTGGTTTCTACCATAATCAAGTTTCAGATTTCTAACCTCAAAATTATCCAGTGCCTAGTGATTGAAGATGCTCTTGCTGGAGTTCAGGCGGCCAAAGCTGCACAAATGAGGTATGCATGGTATCATAATTACTATTTATTATTCATGAATCCCTTACTTTCTTCACAATTGCCACCCAAAAGTGACAGTTATGGTATTACAAGATAGCAACTTTGAAGGCTGGCAGTGTAGGGTAAGCAAAGGAGGAGATAAAGGAAGGGGAAGGTTTTTTCCCCAAAATTAACAAATGTCGATGTTAACATCAGAATTGCATCGAGTTGAATCCATTTGATGTTCTACAAGTCATTGTTGAATTTCATAGCTTCAATATTTAATATACAATAATCCATGTACTATGTTGACTCTTGTAGTTAGATCTGCGTAACCTGACTTTTTTTTTTATGTCTTTTATTTGACTGGTCTCAGAAAATATGAGTTGGTTGGATAGCACAAGTCATGTAGGAATAGATAACACAACCTTACCAATTAATGTTGCATTCATATTTTGTTAAATCCTCCTTTCAGTCGTTAATTAAAGTTGGTTCCATTCTCCTATCCGATGGTGCTTGAGTATATATAGAGCATTTCATAATTTCTAATGTCTAGATTTAGAATTATGTAACGTCTCAATAATGTTGGATGTACTGTTTAGAGGTTTTGTCTCACCACTCAATGATAGCAGAATTAATTAATTTTTTTGCTACATGCAGATCTATTGCTGTGACTACTACACTATCTGAGGAGAAAATGCTGCAAGCTGGTCCTTCTCTCATCAGAAAAAATATTAGAGATATTTCAATCAATGACATTCTTGACGGTGGACATCCTGATGCTTATAGTATGTAGTTCAGAAGTTAATCATTGTATTTTGTTATCCATCAGTCTATGTAGCATGGTGGGTACCTGCAGCTGGTTCATACTTTAGAAAAATAGTTGTGCCATTTATTGTAACAGATTATCAGATAAGTTTTCTTAATTACATTGAAAAGTTTGATTGTTCTACTTTTTAAGATAATAAGATTTTTGGGTTCTGAATAGGTTGTAGATGTAGTTATTCAGTCATGATATTTTGATCATAATGGATGAGAATTCATTTTCAATATTTTCTGTTGAATTCTAATATAAACAGGTTCTTGCAGATAAGATGATGCAAAATCTTCCGGATATTAACTTCCGAGAGCCTACTTCTTCAGAAGCACTGAATAAAAAAGTAAGCATTGAAGGTGTTCAGTATATGAAGTCCAGTCCCGAGGAAGTCCAGTTCTTTAGAAGGTAAGAACAACTCTACCGTGAAAGTTAATAGTTTCATTGAGCTTGCCATCTGTTGTTCTCACAAATATTATCATCTTGGTCCTATAAATATAGTGAGCACCTGGTCCTGTTTGTTGTCTACAACTTAAAAATATATTTAAAACTCTCATTATTGCCGATCAATTTGTGCATGTTGCCAGTGGTGTGGCAGAATTTCATTGGCATACGTAGAACATATTCTTTCTTAACGATAGACCGCAGAGATTGTTTACACTATAACTCGTTGCACAATATCCTCAAGTTGGAGCGAACATCACACATGATATACCCATTTTAGTGTTTCTATGTTATGTTTTAACATTCATGATGCACACTTGTAAGATCACAATTGTATTGTGATTAAGTTTCTGATGAAAATGATTTCTCAAGGGAGGGTTGAGGCAACAGTGAGGGAGGTCAAATATAATATATATATATATTATAATTATACTTATACTATATATATATATATATATTATATATTAATATATATTATAATATTGGGGTGGGGGAGCTCGGTGCTGGGTTGAGTGGAATCTAGAGGACTTGGAAGGAGAGAGAAGGTAGCTGCGTCTGCGGTTTTGGAGATCTTATTGTTATAGGTTCTTTTGCTATGGAAGCCCATATACTTGGTTTGGTGTATTGTTTTTCGGTTCTTTGGACGAGAGAAAGGAGGGTTGGGGTCGGGCTTTCGTTGAATGAGTGAGGAGGGGCTGGGCCTTGGTGTCCTGGGAATGTGGGAAATAGAATTAGTTTTTTTGCTAAGAAATCATAATACACTCTGATAGCATGGTGGGAATTTCACTTGATCTCAAAGAGATAGAGTTACATTTTATTATGAGGAAAGCAAATAGGATATATTTGGATAATTTTCCAATGCGAGACTGAAATAAAGTTCTCTAACTTCTCTAGATCCTCACTACCCTGACAATATTTATGCACCTTGTATGACTTGAATTTTCACTTGAAAAAGTCAGTTTTTCTTTCAATAGGTTCGTCGGTCCTTCCAGTGTTGACATGTGGTGCCATACTAACCACTTTAACAATTTTTATTTCGGATTACCATCTGATGCTATACCTTCCAGTATTTACTTGTGATTTGGTATAAAGGTTTTAGGTTTAATTATTGACAGGTTGCTGGGTTCTCGGAGAGATATCTTAAGATATGGAAGCCTGGGAATTTCTATTTCTTGTCTCTTTTTCGCTGTCTCTAATTGGAAGGTATAAACAATATCTTGAAACCTAAAGACAGTAATGAAAACATACTGCTGTTTTCAGTATAAGATTCACAGTCTTTCGCTTATGATTCTTTAGTTTGGATTGAAAATGAATAAATTTAATGTCTATTCAAAGGCTGAAAGGAGTGGATAACAGTACCTTACTTTCCAGTTTATTTAATTCTCAAACTTCTTTAAGTTGATAACTTAAGATATGGGCTGGGAATTTCTGGTTGTCTCCATTTCTCTTTCTCCATTTGGAAGGCATAAACAGTATCTTAAAACCTAAACTGAATAATGAAAGCATACTGTTGTTTTAAGTATACGATCTTTTGCCTATGATTCTTTAGTTTTTATTGAAAATGAATAAATTTAATGTGTGCTCCACGCTGAAAGGAGTGGACAATAGTTACCTATTTTCTGGTTTGATTCTCAAGCTTCTTTTAACTTGATATCTTTTTCATCATGAAAATACTGATTAACTGCCTGCTTTAGATCTTGTGTTCGATATAGTTGCCAATGTACAGGTTCCCCATTATTGTGATTTTAATACTTGTAACGCACAAGAACAGAAAAAAAGACTACTAAGTGGAAATACAACTTCTCAAAAAAATTATCAAACAGAATGATGCCAGTTGCTCCAGTAGTTTCTTTATTTTTTACCGCAAACCTAAGATGAAAGTAGCAGTCAGTACATTTATGTATTGCTTACATATATAATATGTATATGCATAACATAAAGGCATACTCTTTACTGTTTATTTACATGTGATAAACATCTAAAGTGTAATACATGTATAAACCTTAAAATTGTCAGTTTTGCAGGCAATGCAGTATGCATCTGTGAAAGGTGTCTTTAATCTGTTCTCTGGGGGTAAAAGTTTGATGTTCAGTCAGAAGGAAGGTAATTTGTTTTTTAATTGATCATATATATTGAAGTCTTGTAACTTTTCATTTAAAAGAGAAATGCCACCTGAATCTGTTTTCTCTGAGGTCTTTCACGTTCTTTTCCATTTTATTGCGTTAGTCTTGAAGTTGGCATCAAGTCAAAGATGCGCTATCAGGTTGACATCCCATTAGAAGAATGTGGATGATTTTTTCTCGGCTCACACTCTATTTTACAGTTACTGTCGATAGTTGAATTTCATCATTAGCAGCTACTCTTGCTCATAGCCAGAATCTAGATACCAACTCAGAGGATTGCAAATAGTTTGATGCTCAGTTATCAGATATTTTTCATTTTAGCCCAAGGAGTCTGCTCTGCAGACATTCCCTTTTTTAATGGGGAAAGGTTTTGATACTGATCATAATTTGTTTTTTTTTTATTCTGGACAAACTATGACGATATATGATCCCTCCCTATTCTATTTTCATCTATTTTGGCCATCAGCATATGGTTTTACTGCTTGTTAACTTTTTAGGACAACCTGGTTCGTCAAGAGTACAGCAACTCAAAAGTTATCTAGCTGATCTAGAGGACAGGTGGATATATTTAAACCTTCGCATTTTGACGAGGCTTTATATTTTATTGGATTTTCCATCTTTACCATGAAGTATTAATCTGCCTTCTTCAGGGGTTCTGCTTCAGATGTGCCTGAGTTTCCTGCTCAGCTTGATTGGCTGAACACTGCACCACTTCAGTTCCATAAGGTAGTTTATGATTTTATAACCATTGCCATTTGCTATTTTTTGGTGCACTGATACAAACCAATATACTGCATTTTGTTCTTAAGTAACTGGTACTTTAACCTGTTTCTAGCATGATGTTTAGTGATTTATAGTCATATTTCAGGTAGCATGAGAATGGTGTTACCTTTCTGAGTTCTATTATCATTGTCATTATTTCTTTCACATGAATTATGATGCTCCTATCGTAAATGGCACTATTTGATACTTTTTTAAGATACATATATGTCACATCTATCCAGTAACTTCCTTATCTTCCTAGTTTTCCAGGCAGCTTCTGGCCGGTCCTATAGCAGTCATGGGTGTTCATAGCAGATGGTGGGTAATCTTTATAACGAGAGATTAGATTCGTGTAGAGAGCCTTCTTATTTAATATATTAAAACAAAGCCATTTTGTCCTCATTATTTCTTTAGAAATTCCATTATAACTGATATAGTCACATGTCAGCACTGAATTCTCTGAAAACAAACATTTGGAAATGGTTTGACAATCATTCCATTACAAATCAAAACTGGATTGCTCAAGACATAAACCAAATATTGTATAGATATATTGTAGTCAGATCAACATTAGTCAGAAAAGGGAAAAAGATGCAGGGCTCCTAACCATCATTTTGCAATGAAGATCTTCATCCTTTCTTTCATATTTGGATCAGTGCTCAGAGCTCAAAAACCCTAGGTTGGATTTTACTTCATCTACTTTGGCTTTAGGGTTTCAATCTAGATATTCAAGTAAACTAAGGCTCAAATGCTGATTACATTAAAACCCAAAAACCACTATGATAGCCATCTTTGACCTGTGTAACATCTGCTATGGTTCCTAGTGTTGGTACAAAATTGCCTCAACCAAACAGGTCCGAGTTTCCTTGGGCATTCCCGATACTGGAGGTATGGAGCTCAAACTGCCATAAGACCTTCTATATAGACTATATCAGCTGCCATCTAGAAATTGCTTCCTTCTTGACTTGGAAGTTGTCCACTCAATATGAGCCCTTTCAGTTATGTAGGCATGCATTTGTGAAGCAGAAAAAAGTGAGACCACAAAAGTGCCATAAGAGGACCCTCTAGTTAAAGGGCTTGCATAAGGAGTCACTCACCTGAGATTGGATTTGTTCACTAACTTGATGACCACTCTACTGTGGGCATGGGATACAAAGCTCTCTTAAATGCTAATATAGTAATATTCCTCTTCTTCAAGCTTTCTTATCCTCTACATTTCTATCAGTAGTTACTATATTTATTTTAATATCATTTATATTTTTTTAGTAATTTGTTAATGGTTGATATGCAGTTTTAAGCTTTCAATGTGCTGCAGAATTTGAAAGGGAAGGTGGTCTTGCTAGATTTTTGGACATATTGCTGTATAAACTGTATGCATGTCTTGCCAGATCTCGAATTCCTTGAAAAGAAATATGCTGATAAGCCGGTAACTTCCATATCTTCTATTTCAGAAACTTTCATATGAACCTCCTTATTGTTTAGTTTCTTTCTCGTTATACTGGTTCGTTGTACTGGTAACTTCCATATCTTATTGTATTTTTTTCTTGGATCTATCTACCTTTAGATGAAGAAAGTTTTGAATCTAAGATAAGAATTGTACCACCAGCTCAGTTGTTTATTGGATTAATCATAGACTTAGGACGACAGTCTGAAAGCCTCTGGATGTAAGACCTGAAACATTTATATTATCAGAAATTCAATTTTCATTCGATTCTCAAATTAGATTGGAAAGTGTTTGATTGGCGTGTGATGACTCATACACCTCAGATTCAACTAAGAAATTTGCCTCTTAATGATTATTTGCGAATACTATTTCTTTTTATGTTCCTTGGCTTAGGACTTAGTTCTGTTGTTCACATTGCTATTTGAGTTTGAGTCTCTTGAGTCTGTGATTACATATCTTAACAACATTAATCATCTCTATATGTTGCATCATTGGTTGGTTAGTTACTTCTCATGCATATAGACTTCTTTCATCTATGTTTAACTCTGACCATTAGGATAAAATAGTATTTTTCTTGCATCAGTGTTATTGATTGATTTTTGCATTCACATTTTGATCCCTGCAATCCAGTACAATGCCATATTTGGTATTAGTGGTTGTGCTAGGTCATCTTTGCGTGCAACATAGTACTCACAGTGATAATAAGTTTAGAACAAACATGGATTTTAACACATATTTGTAAGATGTTAGAGTTGTTTAAGACTATTCAAGAGCTGATATATTAGAGTCTCTTAAGATTATTCAAGATCATTAAGTACCATTTGTAAGACATGTCTAGAGGTCATAGAGACACACAACATAGCTCATCCTTGTCAAGAGGATCATAGCACTTAGGAACAATTGATGTCACGCCTTGGGCTTCCCAGCGCAGTGTAAGTCGTGGGAACCATTGAGTGCAACACATTGTTTGGCTCAAACCATCAGCAAAATTGGCTAGCCAATGTTGCACTTGACTTCCACACCTTACATTATAAACCCTTCAATTATTTCATGCCTTCCTAACATGGGACTAAATTGGGGCATTACAATCGCCCCACCTTGAATACGCGACCCACCTTGAATACGCGACGTCCACGTCGCAACATGACTAATTGGTTTGTCCAATTATCACCGCCAGATGATGTGGATCTTAGAGGTAGCTTTTATGGGTTTTACAGGTGGCTCGCACAGTGTCACATGGTGTAACACTTAGTCTTGCACAACATTTAGTGTGTTGCAGAAAAACAGCGGTGGCTGAAATCAAGATCACAAAGCAATAACCAAAATAAAATCACAGAAAAGATCACAAGCACAAACACAAGGATATACGTGGTTCGGAGTAAGTCCTACGTCTTTTGGCAGTAACATATAAGCTTTACTACATTAGAAGGGAGATTACAAATCACTAGACGAGATCAATGATCTCTCAGACTCTCTCTCTCTCAAAAGATAGAGAACTTCTGAGCAATTTGATCAATCAATTCTCTCTCTAGACATATTCTCTCCCCTTCCCCCATATATCTGAAAATAAGACCCTTTTTATAGTCAAATTCATGTGCAACACGGATTTCTCAAAACTCCTATGTTTAACCTCAGTTAACCCTACCTAAATAGGATTCAGAACTGCTTAAAACACCCCGACAGGCTGCGGTGCTGCAGCCTGTCTATTAGCAGCGAGTAGACCGGCCTGCTCTTCCACAGGCTGCTGTACTGCAGCCTGTGCTTGGGCAGTGTGCGCAAGCGGTGGTGGAGGATGAGGGCCAATGCTACATAGTGCCACACTTTTGGCTGACTAACTGCTCTGATACAATTTCTCACGTTCCGGGCCCTGAACCCGTTGGTGTGGTGTATGTCATGGGACCCATGGAGTGAAAATATTATTTGGCTCAAATTAATGCCAAAATTTTATAGCCAATGTTGCATTTGGCGCCCACAACTTACATTATAAACCTGTCAATTGTTTCATGCCTTCCTGATTTGGGACTAAATTGGGGCATTAGAATTAAGATTATGGTAGTCTAGGTCAGAAATTCGGTAATGACCAAGATGAGTTGAAGAAAGGTTATCATCCCAAGGTTGACATCACTTGAGCACTGTATCTTCTCACGACATATAGAGGCTTGACTTTTAAAAACTAGTCATCTATTTTGCGTTAGATGATATGGTATGTACAAGACTATATGAGTAAGTTCGATGACCTTGCATGTTCTATTCTCTCTAGAGCACATATTGGAGACCTGGGCTCAAACACTAGGTGCTTATACATAGTATGACTGGTTCAAACTCACTAGTTGCCCTTAGAGCATGAGGAGTATTTAAAGGCGTGGCTACAGAAGTTCACTATTGAGCCATGGAGCGCTCCGAATGTAAGTTTAAGAATATGCTTCTACTGACACTATGAACAAATTGGTGATTTAAGAAGGATCCTACAAGAACCAAGAGTTACAATTGTTCTTAAGGTAGATCCAGTTAAAGTGCGTCTTAAAAAAATTTGAACAGATATTACCAACTCAAAATAGGAGAAAAGTCAAAGATTTAGATGTAAACTATCAAGTCTATAAATTCGGAGGGACTCACAAAAAAACCTATAGCATAGGGTGAATTTGCTAAACTTGAAATATATAAAGCCAACTTTATACATTCCCTCACTAATAGGAGAGATTGACATTATGGACACCATAAATACTGTGTTTTATAGCATAATCAAGTGATTACTATCAATTCCTTTTGATTGCCTGTCATTTCAAGTTTAAAAGTTCTCCTTCCTTTTGTTTTCTTGAGCGGACTCCGGATTACTTTGCCTATGTCATTCCTGAGGAAAATCTGAACATCAGCGAGCGTTTATGAAATTACACCACTAAGCCTTATTGCGGTATTCCCATGGTTTAGTAGACTTTCTTTTCATAAATTGCTTCAAAGAAAGTATTCTATATAAGCATTAACTTGCTATTGACACTTTTAAAATTTTCTATATAAGCATTAACTTGTAATTGACACTTCAATTTTCATAGTACATTGTTATTGTTAGTTATAATGTCAAAAGTTAAAAAATCCTTGAAGCTTATTTCTATGTTCGTATAACTTGTATAATTTGGATCTTATGCAGTTCACAGTTATTGGGGTACATTCCGCAAAATTTGATAATGAAAAAGATCTTGAAGCCATTCGCAACGCTGTCTTGCGCTACAATATAACACACCCAGTAAGCCCTTGAAACCAAGTTATATGTCACCACTGGAAGATGGCATCATATACTTTCTGAATTGGACTAGGGAGTTTATGTTAATACCTGAAAAGTTGGATATACATCTCTTCCACCGTTAATTCTATCAATTTTCAGTTTTGTAATGTCAAGTGGAATTAGTAGAGTTGAATGATGGTAGGTTTGCCACTTCTAATATAGTGGTATAAAGAGTGTTAAAGTATACTTTCTAAATGTATGCCTTATTCATAGTATCGCCAAGTCCAATTTTTTATATTACTCTATGCCTGTTTATGGGAGTATTGAATAATTGAAATCCCTCACTCATTTATAGGCTGAAATGTAGGCATGTTGCATTCTGCATCTGTTGAATAGACATGTAACAGACATTTTCATCTTTTGAGATGGGCTGCTATTATGCGAGGGATTTGCAAGAAAGAGCTAGTCCTTAAACTTACGTTTTGGGTAAAAATCTGTGAGATGAAATTTTTTATAGATACATCAGAGATTGTAAAGGAGTGTTGGTTTCCGGTATGGGCACGTTACTGTTGATACAGGAATGGCTTCATGATAGAAGTACCAATGTAACATAGGTCCAGACGTAAAGTTAAAACGCCTTATTTTTTTTTCTTTCTTCTTTCCCGGTGTTTTTCATATCCTGCCAATTGGTATCGGGTTCAAAGAGATCCACTGTCGTGAACTTTGGCATTGTTCCAATCTTCATATCTTTTTAATGAAGGGCGGTCTTCAACAAAATCGAAGTTGTAATCAAACTTTAAGTTCATAATAGTGATACAAAGTTCTTCATGATCTTTCAATTTTAAATTTGAGGTCGATTTTTTTAATAGGGGCAATTTTATGTAGTGACTTTCATTTGAAACAACGCAAACAAAATATGCATAGGAAAAATTACTATAGGCTATAGCTAAAGAAGAATGACGGAGAATTCTTTTAGTATTACAAGTTTGATTTTCAGTAGAATTTTTTTGTAGCCTTATCTATAAAAGATAAGTTTTTAGTTCATCTAGATTATTTATCTAGATTATTTATTGATTGGAACATCTACTTCATAGCCTAATTATTAGGAATGTTGTTCAATTCAAGTATGATTGGATTCTTTCCTAATAGGAAGTTCATTTCGACCCAATGACATTTATTTTGCTTACTTCAACGTTCCCAATTTTCATGGGCTATAACCCATAATTTTTGTCCATTTTCATCCATTTTGACTCAATTACAATTAATTGGGTACTTCAAAATTCTCAATTTCATGAGCTATAACCCATGATTTTTGTCTATTTTCGTGGTACTTTTATCATAAAGCTATACCAGTACCCAACGCGTACCATAGCCTTATCAGATATACACCTTGAATATATGCATGCATTTATTAAGACATGTACTCAATTATATAATACAAGTTTTAATTTAAAACACTTGTCATACACTTCCTAGATGTGTATCGTATGCTTCACAATAGAAGTTTGAAAAGACCCAAATGGATGCATACGGCACAAACATTTATGTGTTTTTGGTTCATCCTTTTCGCTGAATGGTATTTTAGCAAAATGAGAGCATGCGTTGGAAGTTAGAGCAGGAGGCAAGTTTCTCTTATTACAAAATTACCTGATCTTTATTACAAAACCGGATTCTTCAGTAAAATAATCATAAATACTTTCATCTGTTTATATTTGGATCGTACTTCAATCCTTCAGATGTTTATATTTGGGTGTTATGCTAGGTTGTTAATGACAGTGATATGTATTTATGGAGAGAACTAGGAGTGAATTCTTGGCCTACTTTTGTTGTTGTTGGTCCCAATGGAAAGCTCATAGCTCAAGTAGCAGGTGAAGGTCATCGCAAGGTATAAATTTTCTCCAGAGGTTTATCTACTTGAATATTATTGTTGGTAATGTATCATTGCTTACAAACATTGAAAACAATAATTATAGTTTGCTTTCTTCTTATTAGCTCGTGAAATTCAAAATTGGTTTATGATTTCGCAACTGTCACTCTATACATTTATAAGAGAAGGAGCATACCATGTACCATTGAGGGCTCGGCAGAGGGTCAGATGTATGGACTATGCCCCTCACCATTCACCAATTTTGATGGTGAAATTACATGTTGGAGGGTACCTTTGCACTTGGCATGCTATCATTAAAGGGCTTGTTCACTACTGATTTATGAACTGAATTTGACACTCATGAGCAATATCATGTCTTTTTCATTTTGTTTTCTTCTTTGAATTTATGTAACAGCACTTCTGTATAAAAACTCAATTGTTGCTTTTACATGGATTGGCATACCTTGTTCCTTTGCAGGATCTTGATGATTTGATAGATGCAGCTCTTCAATTTTACGGGGAGAAGAAAATATTGGACAATGCTCGTATTCCTTTGGCGCTAGAAAAGGATAATGATCGTCGCTTGCTGTCCTTTCCATTAAAATTCCCGGGGAAGCTTGCGATTGATGTGCTAAATGATAGACTGTTTATTTCAGACAGTAATCACAATCGCATTGTGAGGTTCTTTTAAACTTAAATGGAAACATTTGCACTCATTCGCTTAGAAAGCTGTTCCTCATGTAAAAGGACCAGCTTACAAAGCCATTATAACTATATTCCTTAAGTTCTACTTTGGATCATCTGTGTCTCTGAGCGTTGTTTTCACCTGTTAACTCCATCTTTCTGAAAATAGGTGGTCGCAAATCTGGATGGAAATTTTATAGTTCAAGTTGGGAGTAATGGAGAAGAGGGTTTAGCTGATGGCAACTTTGATGATGCTTCTTTTAATCGCCCTCAAGTAAGGAACATATCCGAAATATATCTTTCTTAATTTAAGGCATCTATTATCGTGTTATGATTTCCGTAATTAGTTATATCCTATTGTTAAGTCTCTAACCATTACACCAAAATTCCAAAGTTGTGGGGAGGGTTGAGGGTTATTAAATTCCTTGCAGTTTTGAGCAAGGTTTTAAATATCGGTTATCAGGGATTTATCGGACGGTCAAAATCCTTATCGGATAGCGGAAATTGGGGATATATCAGGGATAAGTAGTATTTATCGGAGTGATATACTAGATGGAGTATATATAATATAATAACCAAAAATGTAATCTAACCATACTTAATGAAATATAAACATACCAAAGTATAAATAATCATGTTTAGAATCACTAACCAATTGTAGAAAACAAGTCAGGTCGGGTTTAACAACTCACTAAATAACTGCCCATTACCCGAAAATTGAACTCAAAATTTGGCCCGATAAAGCCGATATTTAGAGCCTCCCTTATCGGCCGATAAGTATCTTTATCGCCGATAACTCGCCGATAAACCCAAAAAAACGATAACCGATTAAAATTCTTACTTATTCTAGCGGAAAGCTCCCAAACCTGATAACTCGGCGATAATATCGGATTGCCGTCCGATATTTAAAACCATGGTTTTGAGCCCGCTTTTATGGGCCGAAAACCCAGGCTCATGCGGTGGTGTCAGTTTTTGGAAAATCCGCTTTAAATTCGTGCATGGTGGGATTTGAACCATGGTTGCTTTGATATCAAATTATCTGGATTGCTTTGTTACCATCTTAAAGCCCCCAATTATTACACGTCAAAACCCCGAAGTTGTAGTGATGATTGAGGGTTATATTTTTATATTCTAACATGCCCCCCCTAGGTTGATCGCCCTTTTGTGGACAGAAACATGGACTCACATGACATTGTCAAATTTTTTTTTTACAAAATCCGTTTTAAATTCGTAGCTGATGGGATTTGAACCTGGGTTGCTCTGATACCATGTCAAAGTCACTCCAAAATTGTGGTGAGGGTTAAGGGATATAATTTTATATTTTAATACATGTCAAAGGTACTAATCAACTAGATGGCATGTGGAGGACCCATTATTTTTAACTATACATCTTACCGCATACCTCATCCGGAAAACTACAATTAATATGTAAGAGTTTATGCATTAGTTATATGTCAACTTATTGTTGTTAGTCCTTTCTTGTCATAGTTATGTCTTCTTTAAGCCAAGTGGAGCTCAATATTTGATTCAAGCTTTGTCATGGCCCAATGGGAACGTGTGACGAGCATGTAGGTATCGCCTCGTCAGTCTTACATCTAGAACTTGGGACATGATACTATTACAAGGTAGGCCCACACACATAGTATAATCTAGAAAAATTAACAATAAAATACAATCACATGTAAGCGGGTGGAATAACCTTATACCAGCCTACAAGATATTATTCTTGTTCATGTTAGAGAGGCATGTCTAATTACTGATTTAGCAATACTCTTGCCTGTGTAGTGGTAAATTATTGCTCATACATGCCGCTCATTAATATTACCAAGTCTTCAGTTCATATTCTGGTTTTAGTTTCGTAAATCTTGAGGATCATTGTCTGGGGTTCTGTAGATTTCTCAGATCCTTGACCTTCATGCTACTCCTGCATGTCTGATACTTTTTTTAAAGGCCTGCTAGCGGCTTCTTGTCATGTAAGAGCCTTCCAGTTCTTCTTTCACCTTGAGTTCTGTTTGGTCTCTATTGTTGATATTCTTTCGGACACAGGTGGAGTATAGCAACTTCACAAATGAGATAATAATGAAAGAGACAGAACTAACAGCATCACCTTTGCAAAGACAGCAACTACTCAGAACAGAGAACCAATGTGAGGTAGCTAACAAAGCCTAACAGGGTTTATGCATCAACGAGTAGCCCAGTATACCATGAGGTAATAAATCCTATGGTCTAGCAGAATAAATGAAACCTTTAGATATCCTGTAATATCAAAATGCAGTAGGGGAAAAGGTCATTGTTGCGTTCATGATGAATGCGAAGCTGCTTAGTAGAGAATGTATGCAGCCTTTACCTTCCCTCCCAAAATACCACTTCTTTTGATGTAGCTAAATTTCCAGCTAAACTGCCAAAGTTATAGTTGCTCCAGTTATGACTCGTGCTAGTGAATCCTCCCTCCTAAGTGCTTTCTTCCCCCCTTTAACCATATGGTATTCCGAGATGTAGACTGTACTCCAAAGGTGTACCAAATTACTTCCAAAAATAAAAAAATAGCGATATCCAGAAATCGGCGAACCCTGTTCTCAGTTTATTCCGAAGTATACACATACCTATGCTGATAGTTTTTTTCTTATTAAAATGGATTTCTCTGATGAGAATTGCATTCTCAAACATTAGCCATAAAAGGCATTGTCTTTTGGGGGTGTCCCTGTCAAAAGAGTAAAGGCATAGAGCAGAATTTGACAAGCGACAATATTAAGCTATCTGCCAATGTTATGCTATTTGCAGGTTATCACAGGGTAAACACCTCTTGTTCCAGTGTTATCTCATCTTGTGTGGGATAACCCTGACAGAGAATCCTGCATCTCCGTTTCTCTTCTCCATTGGTAGCATACCAGATCATTTCACATTCGTTCATTGTTGACATGTTTGTTGTACAGCAAGTTGACTGCAAACCTGTCTGCTCTTTATCCATTTTGTGAATTTTTTTTTTCAACTTCTTGGGTTTTCTATGGTCATAGTCTCCTTCAGCATTTTCTCCGCTAACTATTTTTCTTTAGTTCTGTGACGGCATTCTCCCCAATATCACCATCATGATGACTGTCCCAAGTAACAAATGCAATCATTTTTTTGGTATTTCTTGGATGTCACTAGTGAAACTATTCCCTTGTCTCTTCTTGTATAAGTTGTATTTTTTTTAAATTCTAAATCCTTTCTTCACATTACTAATTTAGAAGTTTTATCCTCTCTACTCACATCTAGCTAGGTGATGTCATCAGTAAATGTCAAACATGAAACCTTCAGCCTCATTTGAATACTCCTGGTAAGTTCATTCATAATCAACACGTTGCCCTACTTGATGTCAGTATGTGCAATAGGAAGTGGATGTAGGTCCCTGTAATTATTATCATGACAGTTACTGTATGTTGTCAATCATATGAATTTACTGCTAGAAACTGATTTTTATCTAAACCCTGAACATGTAACCTCCTTTACCTCCCTATCGTGGCTTTTCTCATCAGTTAATTTTTTTTACATCTCTTTTCTTTTTTGAGATATTTGCATAAATCATGCTCTTAACTGCTTCTGTAGTAGGACTTAATTTGGACATAGCTTTTACTTCTTAACTTGAGAACAAGTATCCACGCCATACATTCTATGCAACTTGTCTTATTTTATGCCTTGATGCTCTGGTTGATTTAGTTATGGAAGAGAATCTTCTAGAGACTGTTTAGGTGCTCTTTTTTATCATCACTTGTTGTTAACAGTATTTATTGTTAAGTTTTACTGTGTACTTGAGGGTAGAGGATTGTACTCTTGGAGCAGTAAACTGTTGCAATGCGACCAACATTGCTGTGAAAGTACTCAATTTTACTTCATCAGTGTTTCTCTTGTTTATAAATGTAGTAGTATCGGTTCTCTAAAGGAGTAAAAAAGGCATGTACTTCCAACCGCCATGGCTTGCTGGTTATGCTATGTCATGAATCTATTAATATTGGCACATCAACCTCGAAATTTGATATGACCACTTATCGAAGTGTGGGCACTTTAAAGTTTTTCCCTGACGTCTCCAGCTTCGCAAGCTGCAAATACTTCTAACCTTTCTGTGATTGACCTTCTCACTCTTGAAGTGGTAGTTCTAACTTCTAAGTGCTTTGTCTATGTTAGGAGAGAGGGGGATGAGAATATTTTGTCTGAAAAATATTAGAAAAAGTCACATAGATATGTTACCTTATATAGTATCTCTTCATGTTGGTTATAGCTTTCTGCGTTTGGATGTAAATTGAGAACATTACTAAAGGACATGCTATTTTATCCTATGTTTTTATTGTTAGTTGTTACTTGTTAGGCTGTTGTCAAGTTGGGGACTGAACTTGAAGTTGGGACCTCCATTCAGCTATTCTTCTGCTGGCAGGTTCATCAGTTTGTTAGTTTGGACTGAGCACTTACAAATTGAATAATCCCATGGGGTGCTGATAGTGAGCACAAGTTAAGATCCCATCACATTTGTAGCTAAGCAGTTTGGCCAGACATTCCAAGGAACAAATACTTCTGTCCTGTACATGTAACGTTCAGCCAATCATAGAGTTTTATCATGCCAACTATCTGCCCTTTCAATTTAGTCCCTTTTAGTAGGGTCCGTTTGCCTTTTCTTTCCAGTGATTCTTGTAAAGTTTTTTGTTTTTGTTTTTGTTTCCATAGCTGAGTTCTTATTTGCTTTAAATAAAAACCTTTTAATCCTTTCCTCTATTGTTAAGAGTTGCATGATCTATTCTTTTAGTAAATTTGATTCCTCCCTCCAGGGTGTTGCATACAACCCAAAGAAGAACCTATTGTATGTTGCAGACACTGAAAACCATGCCTTGAGGTATGTAATGTATGTGATCGTTTTTACTGTCATATTATCTTCTCTATTTGCTTAAAACCTATGCTACTGCATGTTTATACTGTTCATTTTTGTTTGACATATTCTTTTATCTTAAATCTAGTTACCAGGGATGTGGTTAAGAAGGGCCCCCGCAAACTCCGCCAAAAAAAAAACCAAAATAAACAAAATATTTTCGATAACAGCTTATGGATAGTTTTAACTATAATTATCTCTCACAACTACAAAGGATCTAAGACTGTTTCGTGGGTCAAATCTATGAAGAAAAGAATAAGGCAATTAAAGAATAAAAGATATGAATGCTAACTAATTTTTTTAGATCTGTTATCAATCTACAACTAAGTATTACCTGTCTTTCGATCTAATTTCTATATTATCGAAAATAATGTCATAATATTTTTACTCTTTCCTTAAAATTTCTTGTAAACTAATTTTGGTTTTTTAAGTTTTTATTTCCATAAAACATTGTGTATAGATAAAAAGTTTTGAATCCTATCGACATTGTTTTGTACTTTGAAATTTAAACCTTGTTTGGAGAAAATATTAAAATTATCTTATATATAATAGTATATGCAAAATGTCTGAATAAATTTATGGTAAATTTCTAATTTTCTGTATCCTATCTTAGATGATAGGATATAGATTTCAATTTATTTTCTTTAAAATTTCATGAAGATAAACATCCAGTAGCTTTGGCTTTCATTTAGAGAAAATCTCTCAATTACAATATCAAACTTGGCATTAATCAGAAATTAGAAAGATGATGAGCTTAAATGAAAATAATTCGTTAAAAATATCTTCTCAGTTTTCTTCGAAATTTCATCAAAGGCGGAGCCGTTGTATGGTCAAATTTATGGATGAAGATCTTTTTGAAATTAACAAATGGAAGGAATTATTTAGTTGATAACAATTTTAACATTATTTGGTCATCCGCAACACTTGAAACCCCTCCACCCCCCCACAAAAAAAGCTGATCAATCCTGGACTTGTCCCTGCTAGTTACCCCATTCATGTTATCACCACTCTTGTTTTTTATCATTCAACAGCCGTTCTATTTTACATCAGCACTAAATAAACATGATACTATATGCTATAATATTATATGCTTACTGATCTTATAGTGAACTAGAGAGCTAGAATTAATATTTTGAGGTGACTTGGTAAGGTTCCATGTTGTTAGTCATTGTATCTGCATCCATAGAACACCTGTATTTGATTCAGTGTAATTTAGGTTGGCTATAACTGTTTGTACAGCTTTCGTCTATTTAGCATTATCTTTGTAAGGCATAACAAACTGTGGAACAATTATACAACATGGACATAGCATGGACGTGGAATGGCAGTATAGGTGTGGAATGACCAGCTGAGAATTAGTAGGCCTCATCCAGATACTAAAAAACTTTATGTGAAAACTTTCTCTAGTTCTATAAAAAGCATTGGATTTGATAATTATAAAAATCATGCTTATGTGATGTGTGTTAAATGTTATTGATTTGTATGGTTCTATGCATTTAGTATGTCTTAATGCTTTATCATCTGACGGAAAAACTTAAATATCTCACTTTTTTGCATTGAAAAATACCTAAATTCATTCTACTTTGTTTGTATTCATTAAATAGTGAAGTTCGGCTTTACATAACTGATGATCATCATATAAGTTCAGCTCATGTGAACGGAGTTTGCGAAAATTGGAAGAGACATATCTAAGATAAAAAGAAGTTGTATAATGTTGGGCCATTCTTGAAGCGATGAACATTTACTGTAGAAATGTCTAAGCTTTAATCTCCTTATCTTAATGGATTTCCATATGCTAGCTGCCATGAAGTCATGAACATCTCATGTAATAAGATGTGTATGTTGATTTTTGAATCTATTGAATGCACATTGTAGTTATTATGATTTCATTGGAAAGGCTAGCAAGTGATCTTTTCACAAGAGGTTGTATGGCTAAATTGCAAAGTTTGCATTGCAAGCCTTGCCTGGATTTTTCATGTCCGTGGTACTAATAGGTTCTTAGGTCTGATGAAAATTGCAATTGCAACTATAATTGTAATTTCTAAAAGATAATTATATTCGCAGTGCCAGCTATTTTTTCATTGCAACTAGGGTTTTTTTATAGGTGCAGATGCAAAAATGAGCTACCTTTTGCAAAAACATGTTGCAGTTAATTTTTTCCGCAAGTTGTTGCAAAAAATGATCCCTTTTTGCACCTGTATTGCAAAAAAGGTACACTTCCAACAAAATGAACGACAATAACTATCTTTTCAAATTGTAACTGTAGTTGTAATATTAAGAAAACCATGCTACATTCTTCTTGCTGCATATGCACATATTTCGGCATATTACTGTCTACTGCAGATGCAATAGAGTATTCTTTTGAGCATCATAGGTGCTACCTAATTTTAAACCTTTGATCTGGTTAGACCAACTACTCTCAGTTTACACTTGCTTCCTTGTCTTTCTAGATGTTATATTATTGAGTTTGAAAAAAAAATGGCCTTGCTTTTACGATCATATGATCATATCATGTGATCTATATGATCAAATTAAATCAAGATGTTTAAAATGGAAGAGTGTTTTGGGAATCTTATGTGATCGTGGAATACCTATAGGACTAAAGAAAATATTCTATAGGACGATTATGACCAATGATGTTTTATGGATTAGACTGTTGAGCAATTGAAAAAAACATGCGCAACAAATGAGTGTAGTAAAAATGAGAATGTTATGATTGTCTTGTGGGTGTACACGAAAAGATAAGATGAGAAATAAGTGTATCTGTAGCGAACTAGATGTTGCTCCTATTAAGAATAAAATAAGAGAGAATCAGGGAAGATGGTTTGGTGTTGTACAGCGGAGACCTCTTAGTGCATTGGCTAGAAAAAGCGATAATATTATAGTTAAATGGAACAAAGAGATCTAGAGGTAGACCTAAAGAACTTAGTTGAGAGTAATTAAGAAGGAAATGATAATGATTAACGGAGGAGATGACGCATAATAGAACGGAATGGAAGAATAGGATTCATGTAGCCGACCTCAAATATTTGGGTTTAAAGCTTTGTTGTTGTTGTATGATTATATCAGATTCCTTAGCAAATGATACCTTCTTGAATTGTTCCCTAGGATTGTAGTCTGTGTATAGTGACATCATCTTTGCTTGAGATTAATTTAAGACCTTATGATTCTAGGGAAAAGTTTCCCCCTTAAAAGTTTCATCTTTCTGCAAACTTGTTGACTTTATAGTCTTATCTGACTACCTATTGTACAAGCCTATGAGGTTGTGGAAACCTGAAAGTGGAAAGCAGAGCAAAGCCATGAGGCACCGTTAGGCTTTTTGGGGCTTAAGCGGTTCACAGCAGATCAAAGAGGTAAGTAAAAAACTGGTCTAGTTGAGAGAATCGGCGGTAGATAAATTTTCGTCAAGGAGCTACTAGAGCCTGTGGTCAACGGTAGCGGTGGAGCAGGAGCTGAGCTTTGCGAAGGCGGTTGACAGATGAGAGCAGGTGGATGACATGGTTGACAGAGGTGGGATTTAGGGGCTATAGGGTTTTTTGGATTCGGCAGGAGGATCACGGATGGAAGAGAAGAAGAAAGGGGAGTTTAGGTTGTAAGAACTGGCTGAGTTCCAATCTGGTACAAAAATGCAGCCCAAACGCCCAAAATTCATTTTTGTTAAAGCACTGGAAAAATGCTTTCAGCGTGTTTTGGCGCTTTAAAATGTTTTTATGCGTTTTAAAGTTATTTTTCAAGTAAATTTGCCAAGAACTCTTAAAACCTCTAAAAGCGGCAAAAGCAAAGCGGCCTGGGGCGCTTCCGCTTTAAAATCCGCGTAAGCTTGCTATTTTATATGGTCTATATGACAAGGTCTTAGGCTCAACTCCTCTTCTAGCATTTGACGAAGGTGATACAGATGCATGGGGAACAAACAAGTATAATATGTATTTTTAAAGAACTTAATTATAATGGATTATATCAATGATTACCATAACAAGTAATTCACGGAAACAACAAAGTTTAGTGATATCAAGTTTCATCTTGGTTTGGGTACATTAGATTTTTGGCTATTGACCAGGAAATGTTCTTTTATTATCAAACTGCTTGGAAACATAATGTCAGAAAAGGAAAGTGTCCTTGTAAAGCTTTCTTTTAGTCATGACACTAGCTTGACCATTCTTCTGTTTGTAAACTTTAGCAACAATCATTTTGTTTATTTGCTTTTTAAGAGTATAATTTGTTCATATATGTCTACAACTTGTCACTTCTGCAGAAACAAAGTTTCAAATTTCTTTGCAGGGAAATAGATTTTGTCAAGGAGACAGTAAGGACACTTGCTGGAAATGGAACCAAAGGTTCTGACTATAAAGGAGGAGGAAAAGGGACTGCTCAGGCAAGATATCAAGAAAATCATCTTCAGTGTTTTTGTTAAATTCTACAAGAGTAACTTGTCTACTGTTCATCAATAATTCTTAGGGAAGAATCTCATTTATCCTCGATAAGGGTTATATATAAGTACTGTTATATATTTGCTCTGTTGGGCTTGATTAAATGGTGTCTATATAGGTCCTAAATTCTCCATGGGATGTCTGCTATGATCCCAAGAGTGAGGTTGTTTACATTGCAATGGCTGGCCAGCATCAAATATGGGAATACAATACAATAGATGAAGTTACCATAGCTTTTAGTGGTGACGGATATGAAAGAAATATGAATGGTTCAAGGTATTCATTTTCTGTCGCAGAAATCATCTATAAGTCGCCTTGTTTCCCTGACTAATTTATGTACTTTTAGTTGTATACTTCCATGATAGGTACTAACTTGGAGGCTGCTTTATGGTTAAGCTATCTCCTTATATCTTGACTAACGATGCATGCCAAATTATCCTATTAAGTGAAATCTTTTCAACTATGGTTTGATCCACTTCTAAAAGATGTTGTGTTCCACATCATGTATTAGCTCTTATAAGATAATATAGCTTTACAAATCCAAAATAAGTGACATTTCAATGTCTTATTCTAGTGTTAAATACGGATAGACCCCCATATTATCACCCAATTGAAGATAAACCTCCTGTAGTTCTGTTGTTGCAGATAGACCCCATAGGTCATTTTTTAACTCTTTCATCCTCACAGAAGAAGAAAATTGTTTTTTTTTTGGCAAATAGACCTCAGGGTAATTGGGCGAATAGTGCAGGGTGTCTATCCGCAAGGTATTCATTTTTTGACAAAAGAGACAATAAATTTTGACTCAGGATATGAAAGAAATATGAATGGTTCAAGGTATTCATTTTTTGACAAAAGAGACAATAAATTTTGACTCGGGGGGTCTATCCGCAATTGGGCGAATAGTGCAGGGTGTCTATCCGTAATTAACACTAAAGTTTTTTATGCAGCATACTTGGTCGTGTCAGGAACTAAGGGAGAGTTGGGATACTATGTGAGCATACAAAATATAGGATGATCACAGAATATTATTAATTTTTTTGTCAATTATCGCTGCGCGTGTCCAAAAGCAACATTAATTGAAGTTTTTTACAAATTAATTAGATATAAAATAGTATTTTCATTTTTAATTTCTTCATCAAAAGTTCATGTACAGAGATGATTATTTCTGACATCTGTTTATGGCTACAGTTCAACAAGCACATCATTTGCACAGCCTTCCGGGGTGTCATTATCTTCCGGTAATATGACCATCTCCCAAAATCATTTCTTAGATGTAGCCACTACACTTTATATTCTGAATTTTGTGTTTGATGTAGATTTTGGTGAGATGTATGTAGCTGATAGTGAAAGTAGTTCCATTCGAGCAATTGATTTGAAAACGGGAGGGTCAACACTGCTTGCTGGAGGCGATCCATTATTCCCAGAAAACTTATTTAGGGTACTTCATGCTATTTAACACATAATTACGCTCTATGCTATGTTAATACATAATCTTGCCTGCATGCTTATAGTTATTGATGGTCGCACATATTCTTTGTTGAGCTTGGTTATAAGTTACTTTATAGTTATTATTAATAATTATCAATTCATTTTCTCTCTTCTCTTGCAGTATGGAGATCATGATGGAATAGGCTCAGATGCACTTTTCCAGCATCCTTTGGGCATCGCTTGTGGAAAAGATGGTCAAATTTATATAACAGATTCTTATAATCACAAGGTATTACTCATTTGTAATTACTATGGCATGCTTCTTTATTATGCTGGCTCCGTGCAATAATAATAATAATAATATTAAGACTTTAATAGGATGATTCGTGCAGCTGACCCTGGAAATTTGAGATAAGGACTTGTTAGTTGATATACAATGAGTATTCTGTATTTTTTTCTGAATGATGCGACTTGACTCAACCATCTTCTTTGCATTTGTGATTTTTCATGTACCAGTTCTTGTGTCTTTTAATATTAACAGCAGGTGAAATTGTTCTCATGAAAACAAGCTGTCTCAGTAGTCTAGTAGATTCATTATACTGGCAATATAATGATGTCTCAGAAATCTCAGTAGTCTAGTATATTTATTATACTGGCAATATAATGATGTCCAGAAGTATACTACATATATGCAAATAGAAATCTCAAAAATGTTTTTGTACTTCAATTTATAATGTCCTCGAGGTGTTGGAACCTTTTTGCCTTGTCTTGAACGGTGCACTAATTTTTTTAATCCAGTACCGACATGGATAATTCCCCCCAGAACAACAGTTTCTTTCAGACCCTTCAACCAATCAATACGACTCCGTAGAGCAGCTTTTGCTAAAACTCGAGCAGTTTCTTGAAAACTTGCTTCGGATATGAAACTTTAGTATTCAGAGATGCCCTCGTTATTCCCAATAAAATTGCCCGATAACAGATCGCTTTGTCTAAAGCACGCCCCTCGTTCGGCTCGCAACAATCCGTAGCATCTACTTGTGTTATTGTTATTAGAGTAATTAGAACTTAGTATATTAGAGTGGTAAGAGTCGCTTTCTCTTATTGAGGCATGTACTTCTTATATGCAAATAGGAGGGAGGGAGGGAGGGAGGGCGGGAGGGAGGTCTTGGAAGATGAGGTATATATGGCTGTAGGATAGCTGACTGTCAGTGGTATATGCTTCTACTCTCTCATTTACATCCTTCATAAGAGGCATATAGTTTTGAATTATGTCTTTCCACGATCAAACTCCAACATAAGAGGCATAAAATGTTGAATTATGTCTTTCCACGATCAAACTCCACTATAAGAGGCATAAAATGTTGAATTATGATCTTTCCACAATCGAACCCCACCACAGTTTTCTACTTTTGTTGATACATTATGTTGGCATATAGCATGAATCATTATCATTCATTTAACTTCATCAGTCATCTTTATTCTCAAAATTATTGTCACATGTTAAGTTTGCATAAAATACCTTTTTAATCTTCATTTCATTAGTTTTAAGCTGTAGGAATATGCAACACAATCATTTCTATCATGAAGTCTTGCCCATTTCAGATATGTTGGCAAATGTGTGAACACCCTCATCCCCATCGATTGAGGCAGGGAAGCTTTAAATTTTAAGTTTGCTTGTAGGCATTGTGAGCCAACAATTGCATCAGCTTAACCTTTGAAAATAATCTTTTGACAATTATACTGCAATTTGATTGCAAACTGAACCCTCTGTTGGAGTCACTTTTTAATCATCATATGTATACGCTTCTGACAGATCAAGAAGTTGGACCCTGTGAGTAAAAAAGTTGTCACTTTAGCTGGGACTGGAAATGCTGGATATAAGGATGGATTAGCCCAGTCAGCTCAGGTTTGAATCTTTTGTGCTTTATCAAAGGAGTGCATTTTCTCTTGAATAATTCAACAAGGTAGGAAGATGATATACGTGTGTGGAAATGGTATGATATGGCCAATTATTTTACTGAATGTGCTGCCAAGAGAGAGACTAGTGGAGAAGTCTATCCTGCTAGTCACAAAGCAGGTGGTCCTCATGCCTTCAATCTCTTGGTGGTTCATTTTGCTGAATATGGTCGCAACTTATATCTTAGTCTCCATTTATATATTGCACTACACAGCGTTGGATATATTGGATACTAGTGTTTCCTTTTGAACTGGAACATTAATGAAGAAATATGAGATTCAGTTATTTTCTTCTCTTATGAAATTGAGTCTAGTATTTAAAAGGAATAAGCTTTATCAAGTTAATTCATGAAATTGTGAATTGTCAAACTTACAGCTTTTGGAACGTTTGGGATCTATAAAATATGCATCGTCAGTTACAAAATATAAACAACATTCTTTGTCAAGTCAGTACCTTCTACCATACAGATACATATGAAGAACCTCCTCATAGTTAAAAAACAAAAGAAAAGAATATTGTTGCTATTCTAGGTCTTCCACGTTATTGAAGAGAGAATATGGCTATGAAGTTACAACCCGCTAGCAATATGTTTAAATTCAATAAAGCCGGCGTAAGAAATTATCAGGAGTAGCGATGACTTGATTCTTGTTCATCACTAGAAAAGGGTATGACTTTGCTACTCTCATCTAAATGCCTGTCACTTGGTCTTTTTATTGGTGATGCCTGTTACTTGTAAACGTAGCTTGTATTATATATTTGTGTAGCAATTATGAAAGCTTAGTTTGTTCATTTTAATCATCCTAAGGTCTGGACATTATCATTGATTGCGACATATATATAATAAGCTGCAGTCCTTTTGTTTTACTTTTAGCTAGACTTTCTCTATATTGATTTCTATGATTTGGTTCTGATGCGTGTAATATTTTATGCAGTTATTTGAGCCATCAGGGATTATTGAAGCTGGGAATGGTAGTGTCTTGTTTTCACTAATATGATATAAGAAAAATGAATTACTCTTTGTATGTTATTCAAGTTTCTTGACACTGATACGTCCACATCAGCGATGCCGATAAAAACATTAACAAGCTTCTTACTAGTGAATTCACAAAATTCATCCTTCTTCCACTGTCATAATTAGTACATAAAAATCTTCTTATTTGATTCTATGGATGATTTTAAATTTATATTTTCCAATATAACAAGTTAACAACTATATTACCTCTGGATTTTGACTTTTAAAACACAGTAAATATGCCCGATTGTAGTGTGATATTTGACTAGTTATAATGATGACCAATATTATCCAAACTGATTACTTCTTCTTATTAGGAGCATGCGACTTATCAAATGTTTCTATATTTAGACGCATATGTTGTCTAATGTCTTAATTCTTTTGTATGGTTGTTTTACCACTACATGTTACACATCTCATTATGTTGAAGTGATTTGATCCCTTTTAGAGTATAAAATATTATCCCTCAACCTTCACCAACTTTAAAGTTTTGGTGTAGTGAAAGTGTCCTTTGACATGGTATCGGAGCAGCCCAGGTTCAATTCCTAGTGAACATGAATTTAAAGCGATTTTAAAAATTTAATACTGCTGCATGAGGCCAAGTTTCGGCCCATAAATATGCCCTCAACATGTGGGGAATGTTAGAGTATAAAATATCTGTCAACCCTCACCATATCTTCGGAGTTTAGGGAGTTTAGGTGTAGTGAAAGGGTCCAATTCAAAAAAGGGATAGTGAAATCTTATCTATAGTAAAACAATTTAAATGCAATGTTCTGATCTTTCAATATAGGATTAAGCAATCGTCTCCAACGTCCCTAATAGCTATAGCATATATCTCCATCATGCCAATTTGCTAAATAAAAGCGACAAATTCTGAGATAACTCTTAGTAAAAAAAAGTTATAATCTTGTTCTTAGTCCTCAGTAGTTTTGTCAACAACAATGCCACTCAAATGTTATTAGAAAAACTACTTGGATGGAAGTAGTCAATCCAAGAAAAGGAACACACCCTTACAATGGCGGTCTGCAGGTCACGAGATTGCCAATATCTGTGATATTGGACATGGAGATTAGGTAGTAGTCTCTCATATATAAAGACATAGTAGGATTTTAAACATGACGGCATGTAATAGAGTCTTAAACATGAAGAGAAGTAGTAGGGTCTAAAACATAGATAACATAGTTGTCAGCCATGGGGACATGTATTAAGGTTCAGACATGGAGACATGTAGGAGAAGTTGAAATATAAGTAAATCAACAATCGATTAAAAAAAAGGAAGCTAATCAGATCCCAACTAGGATTTCGATAGGATTTTGAAGAGGTTCAGAGGAGTGGGAAGGTGTCAAAGCCTTCAACGCAAAGCACAGAGATGAAATTTGCCCAGTGGCGTCAAGTTTTAGCTTTAAGAAAAGAGCTTTTCTGCAGTTATAAACCTTATTTTGATACCATGTTATGATATATTGAAAAATAACTTGATCCCAAGGCAGGATAGTAATGCTTTATATGAAAGCAAATGGGCTACAATTACATAATCTTTCGATAGGATTATGCATCTTCTTTGACTTCCCTAAAATACTAACCATTCTCATGTGCATGATTCATGAACATAAGAATCTATACCAATTGCTTTAATATTTGGATGTCAAAGATTCCTCTGAAAGTTTTACAAATTTCTATTATCAATAACCAAGAGATGCACCTGGAAGTTTGATTTCATTTCTAGACATGGTCCATTAGAACTATCGGGTACTTCAGATCTGCGTGTTTTGATAAAGAGATTGCAATAAATTAATTATGAATATATACTTTAGCTGAATATGTCGGATTATATCTTGCAGGAAGGTTTCTCATAGCAGATACAAATAATAATGCTATCAGATGTTTGGACTTGAATGGAAAAGAACCTGTTCTGAGCACATTAGAACTGAAAGGCGTGCTGCCACCATCATCAAAACCTAAATCGCTCAAACGACTTAGAAGGCGGCTATCTGCAGATACAAAAATCATTACAATTGATGGAGGCTCCTCTGCAGAAGGTTACTTCTATCTTGATATTTCAGTGCCTGACGGTTACCATTTCTCCAAGGTTCGATTCCCACCTAGATATTATCTTTATTATTGTCTATTTTATTGCTTTTAAATACATCATCCAGAGCCTTTAATGACTCGATTATCTTTATTTCTCGATCTTACCTTTAGATATAAAATTTTGTAGTTCTGAAAACCTGTTAAATATGATTTTCATTTGGATCCCTGACCTTTGCTTGTTTTGTGATCCTCAATTATCCTGTTTTTACTACTGAAGTGACTTGGGCATTTTGTAATAGGTATACAAGGTCAACATTTGCTTGGTTCTAGACTACTTCTGATAAAGAGAGTTAAAAAAATAAAGAGAGAAATTAACCAGATCTCCAGTTCTATCTCATTCTTGCCTATCATATGCCTAAAGGCTAAAACTTGTCGAGGTTATTGTAATAAAGAATTAATGTAGTCTGTGACTCATTAGGTGCCACTTAGTAACTTAAAAGACTCCTACTATCTGGGATTATAGTTTAATTGATGGCACTCTAGCTAATAAGAGTTATCACGAGATTCCATTGATGAGCATAATGTTTAAATGCTTATTTCCTATTTGTTGGATACTTCTCATGCAATAAATATAGGAGAATATGATGTTATTGTATTGGAAAAGAAAACATTTATAAAAGACCTAGAAAGTATCAAAGTAGAAAAGAAAGGACTGTTACCAAGAGTTATATTACTCCATGCTATCCAGATCTGTCATGTTTTTTTTACAATTTTTGATGAGATAAGAAGGCAAACAGTGCTAGATAGAGGATGTTGCTCCTCTAAGTATATAGGATGCAGTGTGGTGCGCAGTTGTGCTGTGAAGTGATGGGGTTGGGGGGGGGGGAAGGTGGGCTCATCACTTTGTCTTGGTAGATAATTAGCAAATGGCCGTCGTAGCCCTTTCTCTTTTTTTTTGATATATAATGTGTTGTAGAAAAATATATAGTGAGCTGAGAACCCGATTTGCAAAAGTGGGCTTGGCGAGCGGCAGCTCATAGGTCATGTAAACCTCATTCTGTATAGTAAATTGGGGTTTGGCTCATGGACTGAATGGCAGATATTTTGTAAAATGAATGCTGCCAGCTCATACCCAATGAAGTCCGCATCTTTGGCACATAGCACGGCAAGACGAAAACGAATGCAGAGCACCGGTGTGTACTGAAGCACAGCAGCCGTCTCTCTCTCGTCTCTCGTATATATATCGTAGGTATGAGTATTACATAGACTAGTGTATAAGTATAATGATACGTTAGTATATAAGTAGTTGATATAGGCTTTATAGATATATATGAGGAAATAGGTATGTGGTACAAGCAAATTTGTGGCTTGTAGTGGGTGTCACATTCGCATCCACTCATTCAAATGGTAATATCATGCACTCCTAAACCATGTGATGTGGTCATTTGTGAATGATGGGAGATATATACATCACTATTAAGCAAAAATTTGGCTTGCTAGGCTAACATACTCATTTCTGTAGGTCTCTATCGTCTCTCTCTCTTATATATATATTATATTATAATATATATTAGGGGTATATGATATATATTTACTAAGTGTGTGTGTGTGTGTGTGTGTGTGTGTGTGTGTGTGTGTGTGTACGTATACATACGTGTATATACACACACACATATATTATATATACACAAACACACTTATATATATATGTACGTATGCATACATGTATATATATACACACACACATACATACACATATATTATATATACACAGACACACACTCTTATATGTATGTATGTATATATAATACACACACATATGTCCACTATGTGTGTGTGTATATATATGGGTAATATGTACCTACAGAGGCTCCTTAGGGTACATCTAAGGATGCACCTCTCAATATATGAATTGGGCTACTTTAATGGACGATCCGCTCCATTCATCATGATCTAAATGTCTTAAAACATTTACAAAATAAAAATCATGATATGTGAATATTTCTAACACATTTTTCATTGTCTCTTTTGTTGTATTGTCATAAAACCGTTAATTTTACTATCACTTGATGCATTAGTAAAAACAACCAAATATACCTAATTTTTACATGACATCCAAATCATATAGATCAAAATGAACGGAGTGGATCAAGTTAATTGATTGCATATAATCTAATTTTGAAGGTGCATCCTTAGGTTCAATCTAAGATGGCTCCTAAGATACATATTTCCATATATATATTTCCATATATATATATATATATGTGTGTGTGCGCGTGCGTGCACGCACACACATCTATATATATATTTCTACATATATATGTACATATAAATCTATATGTATGTACATACATCTGTGTGTGTATACATATGCATATATATGTACACACACACAAATAAATAAATAAATAAATACACACATACATATACATATATATGTACATACCCACACATGCTATACATATACATATATGCATATACATATTTACATATATATATGTACATACCCACACGTGCACAAGTAAATAAATAAATAAATAAATAAATAAATATACATATACGCACACACATGTATGTATATATACATACACTAGTGTATATTTATTTATTTAAATGCTACAATAATCCTATTTTAATTGATACAATATATTTATTTAAATGCTACAATGATATTTTTTAAAATAATACAGTAATATTTTTTAAAAATGCTACAATATCCCACCTCTGTTGTAGTAATAAATTTTCACAATGCTACAAAAATGTTTTAGTGATGCTACAGTGTCCTGTTACGCTACATGATACTTCTTTGAAAATGTTACAGTGATAAAGCTACATTAAATTACTATAGCATTACTGTAGCACAAATAGTGATCCTTGGGTCCTCCTATTATTATAGATGAATATATACATACATACATACATATAGTGGATACACACACATATACATATGTATGTATATATGCACACACAAATAAATAAATAAATAAATATAGACACATATAATACACACGCATATAATGGACACACGCATATAATGGACACACGCACACACACATATACATACATACATATATATATATGTGAGAGAGAGAGAGAGAGAGAGAGAGAGAGAGAGAGAGAGAGGAAAATGGAGAAACTTGATATCAAGTTTCTCCATTTAACTTGGTAGTGAGGTAGAATGAGGAGAGCTGTAGATTAGGCCTTGAGATCGGATTTAAAGTACTTGGTTATTTTTGCAAAAAACTCCTTTTTGAAAGTGAGATTGGAACAAATATCTCTCTCCTCTCTCCCTTGTCGTTTCCTAACCATTTTCTCCCTCCGCTCCCCCTTCTCAATCTCTCCCTGTCGAC